CGGTAAGGGATGTGTGACCTTGTCCATGAACCCCGCTACAGCGGTGATTCCCGGCAGCCCACACAGCGAGATGTCTGCTTTTCGCTCGCCACCATACTCTCTTGGCCATGCTCTCTTCGGCGATCAGGGTGTCCTCGTCGTAGCACTGCCTAGCTCACAGAAAAAGCACCCTTATTTTCGGTTTCTTCAAGGAGGGCTACCACTTGTTAAAACCTGGACTAGCTTTTTAGTGGGAACACGAGGCACTACGCGAGGTCCCGTTGGTGTATGATGATATCCCTCTGCTTCCCCTCTCCTTACTTCCAAAAGAATAGGCACAAAATTTATAACCAGCAGCGCTAATGCTGTTCAAATTTGCACCTGACTGCTTCTTGCCGATATAATCTGTGCTTGAGTATTGCATCTCGCCATCGATCTAATGAATCTTCGAGCGGAATTAAACTGTGAGCTTCATTTGCTACCTAAAATGCTGTTTAGTTTCTGCCCCACTGAATACGTAATTGAATATCATGGACGATATTCTTCAGTTGGAATAAAGCAAATATAAAACCAGGGCTTGAATCGACATCAACCATCAGTGCCATCGGAATGCTGCACCAATATTTCTTACTCGGCTAACCGCAAAAATTGACAAGAATCGTTGTTTGGTTCAGGTCTAGACATTGACATTGTAGACATTGTTGATTTCTTCAAGAGCGTAAAAATTCAAAAGCTATCTTGAGGAGCATTTCTTCAAAAATTTCATTTCACTGAAATCCTCCAACACTAAACGCCTAACAGAAAATCACGAGAAAAAAAAAAAACTTTCAAGTATCGGCCAGGAGGGTCACCTCACCTCCGGCAGAAATGCTTTTTATAGACTGTCAGAGACTACAAGGAAACACCGATAGGTGAGAAGGTTGGACCAACAGCACGTATATCTGAGAGGCAGAGAACGTCTCATAAACGTTCCCTTCCTCTACAAAGTAATGACTTCTGTCTGCGTGGGTCATAGCAGAGTGTTGGAAAGGGAAGGGAAACTCCTTGGAATCCTACGACAATGGTGTAGTTTCGGTATACGTTGGTACACCGAAACTACACCATTCTCGTAGGACTTCAATGATTTCCCAACGGGATTAATACGGCGGGAATCCCAAAACTTTGCAACCTTCGTAGCTATTTCCCTTTGTCCTCCAAACTCTCTTCAATACCGTGACAAAAAAAGGCTCCTTAGTGCACGTGGTAACCATGTCAACTTATGGGACGTTGCATGTAGTTCAAGCCTATGTGAAGGCCGAGATTTGACAATGTGGGGTTATGCACTAACTACTTCCACCATGGGATAAAAAGAATAAAAGGATAAAGCATTTGCCGTTGATCAATCCCTTTTTGGGATGCGGCACGCATTCTACTTCCATTTGTACATTCGTAGTGGCGTTTGAATGCGATGTGGCCTATACAATGACTTGCGGGGGCCAGCCGATGTACAAGTCAGTGTTTTTATCCTCCCAGACAAGTCTGGTACCAATTAACCGACCCCGGAGGGATGGAAGGCTTGGTTGGCCCGGGCGACTCACGACCCAGGATTTGATCCCCGACCGCTCGCGTGGTAAGCGTGCCACTTGCCACTACACCACTTCCGCCCTATTTCAACAATGACGAATTGAAATAGCTCATTTGGGAATGTTCCACGCTGACACTGGCAAGGTTGCTGGATCAATATCGCTGCGCAGTCTAAGATTATCCAAACACAATCCGTTGCTTACCTTCATTCCAACATCTCTACCAGTGGTCTGATCCCTGGGGCTGTGGCAAGAACCCGGCTAAGAGCCTGTCATAAAGAGTTCAAGTCCCAAGAGTGGCGTTTGCAGGTACTGTGGCGAAGGTGGCGGCTTAAACCAGTGCATGCTCCATGTTCCCGCTTCCCGTAATTCCTCGTCAATTGGGAGAAATCACCGCATTTGAATGCGAGTTTAGAGTTCTTTACTACTGCCTTGGGGTTTTCTACGACCAGTTTCCCTGATGTTATTCGTTTGCAACCCTGATCAGCAGCTCAATATAATATAGTCTCAGTGCGGGTACTTTGTTAAGGTTTCGCGTTTCTCCAGCCTGTGAAGACGACCATAACCTCGAAATACCAGCTGTTGAGGCAATAATTATGACTTTGACTATAGTAGGGCTGCAAGCTCGTACTGAACTATTATGATGGAGTTAATAGAGGACCGAGATTCCTTTATTTCGTATTCAATCCTTCGAAAACTTACCTTTAGAATCAAAACGATGCGTTTCTCGTCGTACATCACCGTAGCCTGCAGATAAAACATGGGACAATTGAAGAGAGCTGATCAAGGAAAGGAAGATGCAATGGTCATATTTACCTTTGCTAGATCAATTTGAAATTCTGGTTCTGAAGCTATTCCAATTTTCTTCTTAGGAAAGAATTTGAGTATACCGTTTGACAATTCTGCTTGGAATTTCCGAGAAATGTTAATAACACGACGCTTTCTTCTTTTTACGCTAACCATTCCCTGAAGCGAAATTCATCGTGCAAAGCTGTCAAAGCTATTTTTGAAGAATTGTACCTCCATTATTCATTTGGGGTTGGTTGAATCATTGCGTTGCGATAGTGTTAGTTGTCTTGAACACGCAAGGAAAACAGCTTCCAGGCTGAGTTATGCTTCAAACAGCCGAGTAGCTGTACAGGGGTGGCAAAAAAGAGTCACTTCCCTCCACATTCAAAACGGAATTAATTACGCGTTGCGAAACCAAACCAAATGAGCCCAACTGAATATTAAAGAGCACATTCTAATCTATCAAAAGTTACATAACAGCCTTCTACACCGACGACATCAGAAGATTTTCCCACGGAAACATGGTTCACGGTACGAGCTCAACGAGGTCGTCGAGGTACCATAGACCATTACGACGTCCCTGAAACGCTGGTCAAAAGCGGTCTTGCACAGTCACAGCTAGTGTCTCTGGGAAGCTATTCACCAGTTAATCGATTGAAGAAATTATGTAGCAGCTTCAGGCCGGAGCGATTACGGTAAGCCTCGTTGAGCTCGACGGTGACGGCAGATGACGTCATATTCTGAAGACGGTGGGCAAGGAGGGCCTGCTTCTGCTTATGGGGGACACCTAAGGAATATTCTGCCGTAAAACATTCATCAACAGCGGCATCCTGTGCGACGAAAAATTTGATGATGTGCGCCATGGGCAAAGTGACTCTTTTTTTGGCCCTCCTGTATATGTATGTGCATGTATATTTTCTCTTCTTTCCGTTTTATTTTGAAACGGTTTTGTTTACAAATGCAAAGAGCATGTAGTAAATCATGAATCAGAAGGTTCTGCCCAGCAGTGTGATCGCTCATCTCATCAGCGTTCAAGCTTCAGGGAATTATTCGTTGCGCATATAGCGCGATGATACCGATGGCGTCTCCTAACCCATATACACTTTGAAGGTGCTGGTGTTGTCGGGGAGGAGCAGAGGGGGCATCACTGTGCGGAGAACTTATAGCCAATACCCTCCTCGCAGTACCCTCCTAGGACTAACTAAGTCTTGGGGGACTAGCAATGAAGGGAGGTGCGAACAATGTTTCTTTTCCCTGGAAGATCTCA